ACTTTGTGGGATGCACCTGATTGCAATTATAACCACTGGTGGATGTATCTGACCGAAAGGACGTCCAGAGGTGAGTCAAGAGAAGTGCTACCGGTAGTGTGAGTATACCCTGAGCCGCCGAAAGTGATTGAACCCCTTTATTACCTATCAATCGGCTCAATCGGGCCGGGCCGGGCTTTTGCAGAGTTCCTAAAGTGAGGAGGGGCTCTGTACGCACAGTGGGACTTTGTGGGATGCACCTGACCGCAATTATAGCCACCGGTGGATGTACCTGACGGAAAGGACGTCCAGAGGTGAGCCCAGAGAAGTCCGGGCTCGTATAATTCTGAGTATACGCCCAGAGCCGACGCTCCAGGTCGGCAGTTTCTTGGAAGGTTCGTAATTTGGGCTCAGCCTGGTGCTGTGCGTCCCGACGTCAGACTCGGGAGATGGTGATGACGGTCTGTTTAAATTCTCGGTACGCAGCTACGCCGTATGAACCTAGTACGAAATTAGTATTGAATTCGTATTGAATAATTTGAATTATTATTGAATATGCGGTCAGGAACATTCATTAGCCACTGGTCTAACATCGAAAAAAAAATCAATTTCCCTTCCCCCTCTGCACCCCCGCCTTGAAGAAAAGGGCGTTTTCATTTCCAGTAATAAGCCTCATTTCCAACCGCCGACCCCCCCTCCCCCACCCCGTTCCACCCTTTCTCGATAAATAGGTTTTTTTTTTTTTTTTTTTAATAACAAGAGGGTTTTGTCGCATGTTGAAGAGTCGCTCCTAATATTGACGATTGCGTTTTGTGTTTAAAAAAGAAAAAGAAAAAAGAAAAAAGAGTCGCTCCTTCTGCCGCTCCGCCTCCAATTTACGCTCTATTTGGAAAATAAAATAAAATAATCGCAATACTTATAGAAATTGATAGAATGATAATAAATAATAAAAAGTGAATCGTGGTATTTGTTTTTTTAATGAATTTCTAGCTGCCTCCCTTCCTTCCCTCCCTCCCTCCTCCCCTCCTCCTTGCGCCTTTTCCCTTCCCCTTCCCGTCCCCTTCCCCCCTCCCCTCCCCCTCCTCCTTCCCCCCCGCCCCCAAAAAAAAGGGTTTGTAAATTGTGGGTCTGTGAGTGATCCAGTGTTCGAGTTTTTTTCGAGTTTTTTTCTTTTTTCTTTTTCTTTTCGCCTAAGTGTTTTTTTTTTTTTTTTGATGAAGCAGTTGCAGTGGTTTTATGTTATTAATTTTCATTGAATATTTGAATATTTTTCCAGCTGGACTGCGATGATTAAAAAATTAAAATATACTTCGATTTGTTTTTTTTTTTTCCCTTTTTTCTTCTGCTGGCTGCGACTGTTCGTAGCAAGTTTTGCAGTGACCTCATTACACGTCAGGATGCAGGTGGATATCATCAAAGCCAAGGCACGTTCCCGTGAAGCTGGACAGCCTCAACGACCAGGTACATCACTCAGGTCATTTGTCATTCCAATATGCTGCCGAGGGCACTCTACGCAGTCTGCCTCTGAATGATCACATGAGAGTCGGCTGTCCCCTCTCTCTCTCTCTATCTCTCTCGCTCGCTCTTTTTCCCCCTTCTCTGTCCTGCCTCTAGCAATCAGACCATCGGTCGTAAGTGCTGTGTTTCGCTGCCCATACACAATCTTGCGCCAGATTGCATTATCAAAAAAGGAGGATTGGATTAGACCACCAGTCTGAGTACCTTTCCCAGCTATTGAGTCCGGGCTTGTGCCTACCGGTATTAGCACAAGCTTTGTTTTCTTACATTTACGAAAAACAAAAAGTGAGCAAAAATGTCAAAAAAGAAGAAATAGAAAGACTTTCTAGTTTCTGTCCAAATGAAAAAAGGGAAAACAAAGAAACCATCGGGGGGCGAGCAAGAGAGAGAGAGAGAGAGAGAGAGAGAGAGAGAGAGAGAGAGAGAGAGAGAGAGAGAGAGAGAGAGAGAGAGAGAGAGAGAGAGAGAGGCATAAAAAACGGGAATGAATCTTCCGGGCGGGGGGGGGAAGGGAGATTCACTCCCGTTTTCAAATTAGAGCTGCGCCCACACACGCACGCACACACACACACACACACACACACACACACACACACACACACACACACACACACAGAGAGAGAGAGAGAGCATTGCATCAGAAGGATGAGAATGTATGATTGCATACTCAAACTATAACCCTTTGTCGCAAATTTGTAAGATTAGTGTGTGTGTATGTTTGTGGGGGGGGAGAGAGAGAGAGAGAGAGAGAGAGAGAGAGAGAGAGAGAGAGAGAGAGAGAGCATTGTATCAGAAGAACGAGATTGCATGATTGCATACTCAAATTATAACCCTTTTTCGGAAATTTGTAAATTAGTGTGTGTGTATGTTTGGGGGAGAGAGAGAGAGAGAGAGAGAGAGAGAGAGAGAGAGAGAGAGAGAGAGAGAGCATTGTATCAGAAGAACGAGATTGCATGATTGCATGCTCAAACAAAAACCCTTTTTCGACCCAAGAGCCTAGCTCAGTGGGTATACCCATGAACTGTTGAAATACAGACCAGTGTTCAAATCCAGATGATGAAACTTGATGAGTAAAACCAACTACTAATGAATTGCTTAGCTCAATGATAATATCTCAAGTCCGTCGCCCTTTGAAAAAAAAAAGGAAAAAAAAACCCTTTTTCGCAAATTTGCAAAATTAGTTCACAGTCATATAGCTGTCTCTTATACACATCTAGATGTGTATAAGAGACAGGCCTACCACTACCCCTAAGGCTATACAGGGGACCCCCGGCAAGCATAGCTACCTTTCACAATTAAGGTGATGCATGTTGCCCCCCACCCTAATTGGCGGTGGTCAGAGAGGTGGGTGGGGCCTCCAGGGGGGGGGGGGGGGGGSGGCGGCTAATGCAAAGACCCATCATTTTGCCAGTAGATGAGCCTCCCTTCTACTTCCCTCGCCCCCATCGAGTAACAGCAGTCTCTGTGACCCGCACTCTCCCACACACCACACACAACCCACGCACACACACATGTGCACACCCATGATGGCCAATGACCCTACCAATACCGAACGGTGGGAGGAAGGCAAATATCACAGTTGATTGACACCAAGAGCGCCGCAGGCGGTTAGTGGGGATTGAACCCATGATGTCTATAATGCCACTTGCATGCCTAACCAACTGAGCTAGGCGACTTGCTCTTTTTCCTTTGTTTTTTGGGAAAACACTGTTTATTACAAAGTGAAATTCCATTCGAGGCCGGGGACCTCACAATTCTACCCGGTGTATACTGGGGCCATTACCCAGCTTTGGCTTCGCTGGAAACCGGGTCCGGCTTCCCAACCGAAGACTTTGCCCAAAATAGTCCCCTTCAGACCTGTATTCTACACAAGTGGTTAGACCACCAGTAGTAAATTTGAATTTCGTACGAACCTAAATTTGCATTTTGCCGAGCCTGAAAGCAACCGGTACTGCCACTTGGAGAATTGAGGGTGGCATAGGTACAAGCCACTGTAGAACCAAACTGCTGGACCAGCTGCCATAGCCACTGTAGAGTTTTACCTCTGCTTCGTTCTTTCACTCGTATCTCTCGAGGGAGACAGAGGTGCCATAGCCAAGGCTATGGAGCATGAGCTTTGACGATCTATCTATTGGAAATCTCGTTTGAGATTGTTATCACGTATGAATGCCACACTCATCGAGGCTATGCATTTGAGCTTCTGTCGGCTACAACTGACTTTGCATTTCTATCATCAGCTGCCAGCAGATGGAATGAAAAGGAGGTGACCGTCGTCGTTTTCACTCATGTGCCACGGCAGCCAAACTCTCCACAAAGCCAGCGCGTGTATCTGGCCAAATTCGAGTTCTGGTGGTTTCAAAGAGATACAGTAACTGGGCTTCAGAGAGAGGGGAAAAAAAAAAAAAAAAAAGAGCTCACACGGACGTTTTCTGCTCAAGATGGACACAATAGCAGTCAGATACATGCCTGTCTTACTGTCCTTCCGGTGCTTGTCTGAGTGTACCCTCAAAGGAATGCCTGTATTTAGTCCAAAATGGGCAAAGATTCATGGGAAAGAAAAAAAAAAAACACCTCAACTTTCAGAAAGGCTGGCACCCCGTGAAAACGGGCGCCTGTCTCTCTTCTGGGCACGTAGTCCCCACTTGTTTTGCTGGCAATCCGTGATGACAGGCACCAGTAACTGGTTGGGCGCTGCTTGCCCCCACAGGCATTCCCCTAGATGTATGCAACCTGCTTTTGACGGTAGGTGCGAGCACCCAAGTCCCACTTTGAGTGTGCCCTGAGAGAACGGGCTACCAGAGACTTTCGGGGGAACAAACAGATACTAAGCAGATTTGAGATGGGCCGCTACATCTTGAATCTAGAGGCTGAGAAAATTCGGCAGTGGAAGACTTAGCACTCACTTAGTATCACGTTCTAAGTGTTAGTGTGGGGAATGTCTCCTCAGGGGGCCCTTAGACAACATACATATGGTCTGGCTGTGGCCCCTAGCAAGCCTCTTGCCCGCCCTAAGTGAAGGCCGCCCGGAATATTCACGGGGAAGGCCCCTGTCTCAGCAAGACAGTTGGTTGACAAGCAACCTGAGGCCTGTTGCTTGAACGTAGAGTAGGCTGGGCGCTGAGCACCAGACAGAGAGGAGCGACATTGAATACTGCGTTGGTGTGTGGCCTGAGGGCTTGAACATTGGCTCATGAGTTCATTGTATTGCTCTTATTTGGACAGAATCTCGGTGCATTTGTGCTCTCTGCTTGTACGTGACTATCTGGACATCTGCGTGATTTTGCAACTTGGTTTTCTGTATATCGCTCTCACTCATATTCCTTGCATTAGTTAGAGTTGAAAAGAAAACAAAAAAAAAGAAACGTCCATCCAAACAATTGAAAAACGCCCTGCCTTCCTGGCAGGGCACCTTAAACGAAAAACTAGAACTCAAAGACTTCTCTCGAATGTGACCCAGGAATGTGGCCACAACCATCCGAATGAAAATCCAGAGCAAATGCTTCTCCTTTTTCCTTGGTTGTGCTTTTTTTTTTTTTTTTCCTGTTATAGTTTTGCTGCCAGTGCCAGTGAGGAAGGGGTTCTGTACGCACATGTGGAAACACACAGGCAGATTGGACCACTAGGAAAGGTTTTAGTTCAGTTGCCCGTTTTCAATGGGCCCACAAGCTTACTCCTCCATCGCTTTGCCAGGCCTTCCCCGAGCCCGGATTTTTGCTTGTGGCGACAAGATCATTTTTCTGCAAGGCTGGGGCCGTGTACCGGTGGCTTAAACTACCAAGTACCTTTCACAGCTATTGATGCGGACCCTGAAAATGCCCTGGGCGCCATATTTTGCCGTGCCTGCAGGGGGGTGGGAACCAATATGGGACATTGGGGCTCCTTCGACACTCCTTGGGGCGTCCTCGGGGCCGAAGGAAGTTTCCTTGGGTTTTTTCAAGGAAATTCCCGCCATCGTTCCACCTGTCCTCGGGAACGGCGCTCGAGGACATTTCCTTCCAACGATGTCAGACAAGAAAAAAGAAAAGAAAAAAAAAAATCAAATGTGTTTGAGGCCTTCAGCCAATAGGGTGCCGCCATGATCCAGCTTCTCGGCTGTAACGTCTCTCTACCCATGTGCCCGCTCCTCTCCATGAATCACGGATTCCTTTTGCCACCTCGTGAGGTCCCTTGGGCAAAAGGACGAAATGGCTGGGGAATCGTCGGAGCCCAAGGAATTTCCTTTGGAGTGTTTTCACTTTTTTTTTTTCGACTGCATCCCCAAGGATAGGTGGAGCAAACAATTCCCTGGGGACTTTACACGACCGAGGAGTGTCAAAAGAGCCACATTGGATGCTTGGCACAGGTACCACCCTTATGCTGGACCTGTTGCCAACAGCTGGAATGTAAACAGGCTGTCATTTTCTAGTTTCCACTCCTGTAGCACTCCAAGCCTCACCGACGCGTTTCCATCCAGGAAAGTACCAGAAACAATAGAACATATCTTTCTGCAATGCCCGGGAGCGTTGTGGCTGTGGAGATGGTGAGACAGAATATGGGACCAACTAGAGACCTGCATCCGGTGGCCGTGGGACTGGAAAGCCTTATTATGTGAGACGTATTTGTTGGACCGGCTAGACAACTTTACTAACAATTTGTTCAAAATGGGTCGAAGGGTGGTGCTCTGCGCCCTCTGGCAACGGCGCTGCACATATGAAATGGAAAAAGCAAGGCTGGATGGCCCCGAATTCACGGAAAGCATCCAACAACAGATCCAAACTGCAATAAGAGAACAATGGGAAAAAGTCAGGAAGCAGATCCAGTTACTTCATACAACAAAAGATATCCAACAAAAAATCAAGGATTTCTGCCAGAGCTGGCTCGGAGGTGAAAATGGGGGAAAGATAGGGAAAGTAGAATGGAAAGGCGGTCAATGTGATCCAGGGGAAGGTCAAGGGAGGAGGGAC